TGCACTTGAAAGATGAGTAGACTTTGGGACTGAGAATTGAATACGAGACAGTCAGAATTCACTACAGAACTCTAGTATCCTGTTTTATTTCTTCCTGTTAGCTGCTCTTCACAGTCTCAACCATTTCTAAAATTCAGCACCTCTCAACTTCATAAAGGTACACACACACCCCACATATACACATGTCTTTACCTTAAGGAGGAATTTAGGAAAGTTATGTGGATGACTATAAGAGCTACTTAGACAACAAAACTACTTCAATAATTTGCAAGAGCTTCTCACAGATAATAGTCCTGACTGAAAAACAGAATTGGAAAAATCATCACAATGAAGACAAGTTTTACATCCCTTGGATTCTGACACAAGCATAACTTTTCTTCAGACATCAGCATAGGGGAAAGTTTACCAAGAAGTACCTATTCAGCTTGGGACAAAATTAAAATGCTGTATATTTGGCACCTTCTTTAAATGGAAGACACTAGTAGCTCTCTTTTGAAAGAGACTTCTGTGAACAAGGACTTGACCTGCCTTCAGTCCTTCAGTACCATCTGCAGCAGGAAGGGCAGAAACACCAACATCACTCATTAGTAAGAGGTGAGGTTTTCTGTTGTTTGTCCAGCACTGAACCAGATGTTGGCCTGACTGTGTTTCTCTCCTTGGCTGTTCATGGAGAAGTCTTGTTTGGAAACTTTAGCGTATATAGAGGAACCTTTCATTCTCAGAGAGAAAAGAAGTTGGAAACTTTATGTCTGAGGTATTTCTATATCGTGGTAGGTTGTTTCCCAAAAAGATTATTATAGGGATAAGCTACTCTATTACTTTCGAAATAAAAAGAAGTCACATTTCTTTTAAGCTTTCTTTTCTTAAATAAAATTTGAGATATAAATACAGAAATTGTTGTTCTACAGGAAGTAGAAGCTGCTACATTTAATGATGTAGCAAATACCACCCCTAATATGTAAAATTACTTCAAGCAATATGGAGGGGAGAGAATAGGCAATCTCTAGTCCTCTGACCATAATTTTAAAAGTTAATTAAATTTTAAAAACATCCCAAAACAATCCCTAATCTTCTTACCATAATTTAAGAAGAAAATGAAATCACATGCTAAGACATAGTGAACTCTGCAAATGCTTTTATAGATACCTGCTGGTGAAAGGAAGCATCAGAAACTCTAGGAGATATTCTACCAATATTTTATGACTCATAAGCAAGTTTTATGAAAATACATGTTCATTCTTTCATGCCTGTTCCTAATTTCTATAAATCCCTGTCTTTGTCGGCATTCTAACTTTATGATGTTCCTACCTAGGGCTGTAAGTATATGAAAACTTATGAGAAAGAGACAGGTGGGAAGCAATTTATCACAAAGGAGATGACTTAAATGACAAAATATGATTATGGATTCAAGTAAAACTGTAAAAGTAATTTTAGCTATACTTCAAAGAGATACCTCCAATCAGCATGAGTTATAGAGCTATATAGAAGAACTATGTAAATGTAGAAGAAAAAATAAAATTTAGATGTTAGGGAAGGCCCCCTGAACTAATTAAAGGGATCATTGCCTCTAACCTGTATCAATGAATCCAATATGAAAGAAAAATGATACTGAGAATACAATAATTATGGAATACTTCCATTGCTTTACACTGAAGAAAATTTATGGCTTTAAAAACTTCTAGAGCAAACAAGAAAGAAAAAAAACATAGGAATTGTATGTTTTGTTTCCTGTGAATTATATCTTTGCAAATCAAGAGCTAGGGGGAAATTTCTTCTTCTGACTAGAACATAGTAAGTGATGAAACTGTCACTGTCACCCTAACAAAGAGAATAAGGCAGATAAACTACAAATTATAGCTTTAAAAAACCCATCAGAGAGTCAAGAAGTCAAATTAAATGCACTAAATTCTAGAAATTGACAAGCCCTTCCTAGGAGAGGAGAGACCCGTGCCTCTTTTCATTGCTAGTAGTGCTGCCAGAGAAGGAGGAATCTGACAGGCACACCAGTAAGTCAACCAAACTTTGTGTGAACGTTTAATGGCCAGGTGAGGGCTGGCGTGACAGGTTAGAATCATAGGAGCCCCAGTAAAAGTGATTCTGTACCTATCTACCAAGTTTTTCCCATGTCCTTCACTGAGTACATGGAAATCATTCGTTGAAGACTAGGGTTGAAGCAGGGTTGCAGAGAGAAATCTTTCTGAGGCATTCCACATGTGGAAAATTAAGAATGATGACAAACTATTTGATATGACTTCCATTGAGATGGTGTTATAGCTCCCCTTCTCTTATTTAAAAATATAATTTTTTATTGAAATAAAGTTGATGTACATTATTATATTGGTTTCAAATGTATAACACAGTGACTCAATATTATATACACTGTCAGATGTTTGCCACAATAAGTGTAGTTACACCATTACCATACCAAGATACTGCAGTATTATTGTATTCTCTGTGCTATATGACTTCCATAACTATGACTAACTTTTTTTACAATTTACAGATTGTACCTCTTTATCCCCTTCACCCATCTCCCTACCCTTCTCCCTATGGTAAGCAACAGATTGTTGTCAATATTTATGGGTTTATTTCTTTTTTGCTTGTTTTGTTTTTTAGATTCCACATATAAATAAATCATATGTTATTAGTCTTTCTCTGCCTGGCTTATTTCACTTAGCATGATACCCTCTAGGTCCATACATATGGTTGCAAATGGCAAGGTTTCCTTCTTTATTTAATGGCTGAGTAATATTCCATCATGAATGTATACCATTTCTTCTATATCCATTCATCTGTTGATGGGCACTTGGGTTGCTTCTATATCTTTGCTACTATGAATAATGCTGCAATTAACATATGTGTGCATATATATCTTTTCAAATTATTGATTTTATTTTCTTCTGGTAAATTCCCAGAAGTGGAATTGCTAGGTCATATGGTATTTCTATTCTTAGATTTTTGAGGAACCTCCATATTATTTTCCACAGTGACTGAGCCAATTTATATTCCTACCAATAAAGTAGGAGGGTTCCCTTTTCTCCACATCCTTGCCAACCCTTGTTATTTCTTGTCTTTTGGATAGTGGCCTGTCTGGTGTGAGGTGGTATTTCATTGTGGTTTTGATTTGCATTTCCCTGATGATTAATGACGTGGAGCATCTTTTCATGTGCATGTTGACCATCTGTATGTCTTCTTTGGAAAAAAGTCCTCTGTCCATTTTTTAATTGGGTTATTTGTTTTTTGATATTTAGTTGTATGAGTTCTTCATATATTTGGGATACTAGCCTCTTATTCGATATATGCTTTGCAAATATATTCTCCTATAAGATAGGTTGCCTTTTTGTTTTGTTGATGGTGTCCTTTGCTGTGCAGAAATATGTCAGTTTGATATAGTCCCACATGTTTATTTTTGCTTTTCTATCTTTTACCTGGGAGATGCATCCAGAAAGAAATTTCTCATGCCAGTGTTCATGAGATTCTTGCCTGTGTTTTCTTCTTGTTTATTGTCAGCTGAAAAAAAGAGTCCTATGGTTTCATGTCTTACATTTAGGTCTTTAATCCACTTAGCATTTACTTATGGGAAAGTAACACAGTGGTGTAATGCAGTGATCTACATGTAGCTGCCCAGTTTTCTCAACACTATTTATTGAAAAGACTGTCTTTTCCCCACTGTATATTCATGATAGCTCCCCTTCTCTTGAATCTAGGTGGGCTCTATGACATGTTTGACAAATTAAAGAAGTAATATAGTTCAAATTTCTGACACTACACTATAAAAGACAATTCGTTTCTACTTCCTGTCTCTTGAAACCCTGGATCCCACAAGCCAGCTACCATGCTATGAGGAAGTCCAAGCAGCTCCATGGAGAGTTGCATGTGCTTCCAGGCAAAACCCTTGGCTAAATTATCAGCTGACAATAAACAAACTGTCAGCAATATGAATGGGTCACCTTGAAAGTGTATCAGCTAACTACAGGGGATTAACCCCAGTATGAAACAGAAAAATTTCCCAGATAAACTTCACCTTAATTCCTGATACACAATTTTATTTTTCATATCAATATCAATTGGCATAGCATTTTATCAAAGGCATATTTCTTTTCCTACTGCTCTGCAGTGCCATCCTTACCATAAATCAAATGTCTACATATGTGTGAGTCTCTTTTTGGACTCTTTTTCTATTTTTCCATTTCCACAAAATACTACCTGTTTTAAATTACTCTATCTTTAAAGAGTGTTAATTTCTAGTAGTAGAGATTCTCCAAGTTTATTCTTTTCCTAGATTATGTTGGCAATTTTTGATTCTTTGAGTTTTCATATAATTATAGAATCAGTTTGTCTGTGTAAGCAAGTGTAATGTCAGATGGTGAAATTTCCATGAAAATATTTTCATGAGTAATGAAGGAAATATGAGCAAATTCTTAAGCATATTCATTGGAAAATAAAGGTGTGAAAACCCAAAGGATACTCCAGAAAATACTCCCCTTTTCCCAGTTCAAACCTTACTTACTATGACTTAAACCTGTTTTATATTTTCAATGTTTTAGGTGCAAATACACTATCAAAAGTCACCTTGACTCTTAAAAGCCAAGATGAACTCACTTTAATAAACCCTTAAAAACAAAGTTTTCTTGCCAAATTACTATTTCTTTTAAAAAGTTGCTATTTTTAATGCAGAACTTCTTTAAATACACAGGAGATTATTTTAAAGGATCAAAAATTTGATAAATGAACCCTTGAAAATTGTACCAATTTGTTTTAATGAAAAGATACAATTAACTAAGAGGTTAGACTATGACTGTGGAGTCTTACAACTTATATACCTAAAATAGATTGAAAACAAATGAGAGGACATAAAACATATTCTTACCAAAGGGTTAAGAAAAATCATAAATATACCAAGCCAAAGAAGAATGGAATCATTTATTGTCTGCAGACATGTGTGTCTGTGCAGTATAAAGCTTCATCCTAGGGCTATTAATAAGTTGAAGTTTGGCTCCTGAAATGGGCTCCAAGTCAGCAAGTTCGTAATTATTCATTTCACATGTCAAATCACTGACTCAACTACACAAAGACTTGATTGATAAATGCTGTTACTAAGACTAGTACCAAAGGTATGTTTAGTTCAAGGCACACCAAGTCAAGACTGAATCTCTCAGTGCAGGATTTGAAACACTGTACCAGCCCCTGGTTGGTGAGCTGGTCTCCAGTACCTTTCAGAGATGGATTAACTTTTCCAATCCATCATAATCCACTTTCAATTGCAGCCTGCTGGGAGATCAAAGGAAATAAAAAAATCAGTCTCTTGGTCTTAAATTGATTAAAATATGAATTAGACACAGAAGCTGTACAGTAAAATCTGTTATTCCTCATGGTTGGTAAGGAGTTCTAGACAACCAAATATTGTGGTCAGGAGTCTGTATATGTTTAAAGAATTAGAAATAAAACTATATCCTTAACTCCACATGTCATAATATAAAATAGAGTAATGAAATATTTTTGTAGTGATTCAAAAACCACTTCAGTATTTTATAGTCTCAAAGTCACCATTGTAATCAATTGTCATATTTGCTAACCAGCTTAGCCCCCATGGAAAGCGAGCCCCAATAAAAAAGGAGTGGGCTCTGCAGAGCTGTTCCTCGGGGAGTTTCTCTGCCTGGAACTTCCCTAATCCACCTTTAAGGAGCAGCCCCTGTTAGCTGGTCGCCAGTTATGATTCCCTGTACTGCAATCTGTTTTCTGTACCTTTATGTCCTGTGACCCCACAATGGAATCTTTTGTTGAGAAGGTCCCAATATTTTGCCAGTCTCATTCTGTTCCAGATGTTGTCGTAGGTTCTCCATTTGTATACCTAAAGCCTCCAGCCAGGATTGGTTCAGTTCCTTGCTGATGCCTGAGAAATGCAGATTGTTAGTTTAGGAGATTTCACGTATTACACTGCCGTTTCCATGCTTTAACAAAAGGGATTTCCTGGGGTGCCATTGCAGAAATATGGGACTTATAAATATGGGAAGGAGCTAGGGAACAATGGGTAACCCAGGCTGACAGAGCCAGCTTTTCCCACTACCAGGGCCTCACACTTGAATATATATGGAAGCTTGAGACCTGTACTTGAAGAGTACACAGGGTACAGAATTATAGCAATCAGCATCATTGATAAGAAAGATTTGCTGCATACACCAAAGACGGTGTTAATATGGGGTGACATTCCTTATCACCTACCCAAAAGGTGAATGGTTTATATGGAATTTTAGAGGAAATGAATAGAACACTTAAGGAAATATTCTCCCATTAAATAATCATCTCCAAATGCTCTAATGTAGTTAAATAGGGGAATGGCTAAAATATTGAAAAATATTTGTTAGGATTAATTCCTTTGGAGAAAGTGTTATTTACACTGTTTTAGAATGAATTCAAGATGGTTAAGCTACTCGCATTCTATTATGCATTTCTCAAATTATCAACAGCAGTCCACATCATAGCACTGCCTTTTGGGGTCTCGATCATTCCTGAGATGTTTTCTCATAAAATGTAATGAGAAAATCAAATACAATGTGGGCAACATTTTATCATCATGGGAAAAAGGAGAATTGTTTCCTTGCAAAAATCACATTTATGTATTAAAACAGCACTGCCTATCCACAGAGGAGAGAGAGAGCATAGATCAATAAGACACCTAGTCTCAGTAGAAAATGTCACAAAGAACATGAGCAAATCACAGAAGAGAACTTGCAAAAGACTGGAGAACAGTTCTTTAAAAAAATCCTTCCATAATAGTAATAAAAAAAGACAAATATTTGGTAAAAATGGAGCATATATGTAATAAAAAAGCATTATATAATATAACAAGTTCTATATTGTTAACATGTAGAACATAATATATTAATATATAGTGAATATATTAACATATTAATTATATTATTAATATATAATAGTGACAAATTTATACACCCACAAACACTCTTTAGGAAAATGTACTAGTATAACATTCCTGATTATTTTAATGGATATTGGTTATCAGTATAGTCAAACAACACATGGTATATACTAAAGAAATTTAAAATTAAATGAAATAATGGCATGTTTATATAATATATGTTGTGTATCCCTATAACATATTTTCATCAAATGTTTTCTTAAAGTTAATACTCAATTACCTTACACTTCCTCTGGGTGTAATGTGAGAGTAGCTGTGTTTGCCACCATTTGGAAATATCAGGAAGGAGAAAGAAAAAAATGAAAGAAAAACAAGCCTGGGAGTATTGTTTGTTATACTTTCTTACAAAATGGCAGCCTTACAAAGTCATTTCTTCCCAACATCTCAGGGCTATGAAGGAGGGGAAGATTTGTTTCTTTTTCATTAAAATAAGAATGGAAAAATTTACTTTGTAAACTTAAGTCAAAAAATGAAATCAAGGAGTGAATGTAAAGTCAAAATAGATACATATAAGTATGTAAAGACATTAAGGTAGGGAATGAGAAAGTTTATGTGTACATTGCCTGGACAAATCAAGTACCAAAAAACTCAGTAACTATTATTCTCAGAAGCCAGATGGCTCAATGCTGTTAAGGTTGTACGGTCTGAACTTGAATCCCAGCTCTATAACTTGCCAGCTGCATTGTCTGCAGCAAAGTGCTTTATACATTTCAAACCTTACTTTTATTGTTTAAAAATACGCCTTGCTGCTATAACTTATTATATTATATAATGCTTTTTTATTACATATATGCTTTATTTTTACCAAATATTTGGTATTTTTTATTATTGTGGAAGGATTATTTTTTTAAAAACCTGTTTTCTAGTCTTTTGCATGTTCTCTTTTGTGACTTGCTCACGTTCTTTGGGACATTTCCTGCTGGGATTAGGTATTTTATTGATCTAATCTCTCCTCTGTGGTAAGGCAGATGACTATGGTAATGGTTAAAGCAGGTTATATATACTTTCATATGCATGACTAGAAAGCAGGATTATAGTGAAGACAGGATCAAATATTGTTTAGAAATCAAAGTTTATAAAACTTGACAACTCATTAATATATACTAGTGGCATTTTATATTAAAATACTAATATATTTAAAAAATAAATATGCTTAAATAGTGAACAAATAACTTGGTTACATTAGTGAAGTCTAACTAGTGGGCCTAATATTAGTAGTGAGGGATCAAATAAGGATGAGCAGAGGTGGGAAACATTCTAGAACTTATCTTTCTCTGAGTTATACAGTAAATAGCTTCACTAGTTTTTACTTTTCTTTCCATAATTTTTTATATTTTCAAGAATATTTTAAATGACCACACATTCCTATTATAATCAGAAAAAAAGCAATTAAAATTAACTCATGTTTTAAAGTTATTTCTAGATAAGATGCTTTTCTATAGGCCTCCAAATGTAGCTGATGGATGAACTGGGTATGCCTCAGTGATCACTAGGACACTTGAACTTGCTCTCCTGCACCACCTCTAATTCACAGCCTTCTTGACACCATAGTTTTCCTTGTACCAAACCAGGGGCCTTAAGTGGGATGTTGGGCTGTGTAGCAGGTGGTGCCCCGCCAAAAGATAGGTCAAAAGGTCTTCACAGATGTAATTAAAGATTGAGGATGAGATCATCCTGGATTATCCAGGTCCACCTAATTCCAATGTCAAGAATCCTTCCTTAAAAGAGACAAAAGAGAGGAAGACACAATTAAAGACGAAAAAGCCATGTGAAGATGGAGGCAGAGATGGGAGTGATGCTGCCACAAGCCAAAGAATACCTACAGCCGTCAGAGGCTGGGAGAGGCCAGGAAGGATCCTCGCCTAGAGCCTCTGGAGAGAAGGCAGCCCTGCCAACCCTTGATTTCAGACTTCCAGTCTCCAGACGGTGAAAGAATGAACTTCTGTTGCTTTAAGGCCACCTGGTTTGTAGTGATTTGTTACAGCAACCTCAAGAAACTAATACAGGCTGACAGGAAATTAACTGCATGAAAAACCTCTCTAAATGCCAAGTAAGCCCCTCTGTCATTTTCTTTTTAAAAGCAGCTATCTACAGATCAGTGCCTCCTAATTCCGCATGTTTTCCTTCTTTCAAACCCTGCATGGGCTTTGAAACAATAGTTCTCAACCTGCGGGTCATGGATACTCCATGGAGAATGATATTATGGCTGCATGTCTGGACTTCTAGGCACTACGTAATATCTGTCATATGTCATTAACAAGAAAGATCTGACTTTTTATCTAAACATCAATTTTTTGATCTGATGATTAAACATATATATTCATATTTATACAAGCATTTGGATTCAGAGACAAAATAAGGTCAATGGGAAGATGGGGTGGGGTGAGGAGTTTTCTCACTTGAATCAGTTGAATTCCCAAGCAGGTTATATACTTACAGCTTTCTTTTCAGTGAGACAAAACTGGTCTGTTTATTTGGTTTAAGTAATTAGTTGTAAAGTTAGGTTGGGATTTTTTAGCTTATGGTAATTATTCTTTATGGGTCTGAGCCATGAACAAAAATATTTTTTTAAGTTTTTTATTTGAGCATTGCTTTCTTCAGGTGAGCTCTGGCAAATGCTGTAAAAATGTATAAATCTGGAATGCTAGGAAGTATAGAAAAGGGAAGGAAATTACCTCAGTTTGGCAAGAGGCACAATGTTACTTTCTTTAATAAAATGCATCCTCTGTCTTGACTAGCCTGATGCAGTCCAATTGAGCATTTCATTGTATTCTGTCACCTAGCCCTGCCAGCCAGAGGAGGCAGCTGACACCGTGTACCTGAGGCTACAAAGAGCCTATGTGTGCCCACTCCAGTTTTCACATTCCTCAGAGGGCTTGAGGGAGAGCTGCTTTGTTATTTTTCCCAAGTCCTGTCACAAATGGTCACTGACAGGCACCCAGAAAGCCTGAGCAAGAACTGGCAGAGCTGGTTGGCGCCAGAAGTGCTACGTGCCCATAGGATTGGGGGAAAGGACACAGAAAGAGGTGCCTCCTAAGGCACCCAGTGATGGTGCCCTAGCACTGGAAAAGAAAATCAACTTTTCAGGGGACAAGCAAACATCTGTGTCTGGGATGGAAGGGAAATTCTGACAGGAAGGGGATAAGGCTTGGGAGGATACCATGACAGGTCATAGAAGCCTGTGGACATCTGTTTCTAGCCGGGGGCTACCTGGTTTCAACAGCATTCCAGCCAATCAAGTAGACAATTTTTGTAATAGGAAAATATTTCCCAAAGTATGCTTCCATGTATTTTCTCTAAAATTCCAAATGAATCTTTTACTAATGGGAACAATAAGTAATGCACACCTGTATTACTACCATACTTGCTACATGCAGCAAATCTTTCTCATCAATGATTCCAATGATCATAATTTGCACCCTTACAATTATGCATATCATGACTAGCACAATTCATTGTACTTTATTAAAAATTTTAAATATGAATCTTAAAAATATTTCATAATTATTAGAACTGTGTTTAGCATGCTTTCTTAATATAGAAGTGACCTTCATATCTCTTGAATTCCCTATTTTAGTTCTAGAATATTAGTAAGAGAAATCAATCAAATCTATTTCAGCCTCTGACTATATGATTCAAAGAGGACTTGACTCTCTGGTTCTCCTCACATCAGCCTCCATACCTGCCAGTCTTTTCTCATCTCAGTGTCATTGGCGTATGGCAAGGATGTGAAGGTCACAGGCATCCAGGGTGGGACATACTGCAGAGAGACAGGCAATTCTTAGCCTTGCCAGGATATGTACATCACTGATATGAGTCTTTTCATAGGGGTGACCATTTCAAGACAGTGAAGTATATACTTATTATTATTGAGGATTTCACGGTCACAGGAAATATATACAAAGAAGTTGTCATTAGAAAGTCTCTAAGGAGAATCCCTGTAAATTTAACAGAAGGAAATGATATTTGACAGTAAAGGTGATTAATGGAGCAGTGAAACAGAAGCCAATGAAAGTCATTTCTTCTCTTTTCTCAGGAGAGTAATAAGGCCAGTGACTTTCTCCAGTTCCTCAGTGAAATTATACTCTGTCAACCAACCATTGACTTCTCTCCTAGGAAAAACAAAATAGAACACAGCTATTCAAATTCTTGTTGCAAAGGATCCATTAGGTTTTACAAGGGGTTCAGAGGATAATTCATACCCTCTGTGTAATAGCAGAGTCATGAGAGCTGAGCTAATGTGTGTACAAACTGACCTCTTTTCACTAAAAATCTGCCTTATAACAGTGAAATTTGATACAAGATAAAGGTTGCAGAGATTCTATCCCTGCCTCCATATGCATCTGTTTGAACATATTATGGAAGAGACAATGTTTAGAATGTGCCTTAAGACATCAGTGGAATTTTGGGAGTTAGAGATGATAAGATATTATATAAATAAGTACAAGACTAATGTCTAATGGGAGACACAATGTCTAAGAGAAAAGGCAAATCTCTACTCAGGAGGCAATAGGAACTTAATGAAAATTTTTAAAGTAAGAGGGGTATGTCTGAAGTGTTACTACTACATGTTGGCAGCCATGGTGTAGACGGGGGTAAAAGGCAACAGAGATCCATTCTGAGGTCTTTTGAAATAATGTGAGAAGTAATTAGGACTTGAACTGAGATGGGAACAATAGAAATAAAAAGGAATTGACATAGTTCTGAGCAGTTAATAGAGTAAAACTACCTAATTTTCTCCTCCTCTTATCCATAATTTCCTCCACCTTTCCACATCCAAATACAACTGGATGGAAAGATTAGGTGAGCTATGGGAGTGGGGGGTGTCTTTAAAAAGGAATGTAAAAGGAGGAAGGTGGAGGAAGATGATTTCAACAGTAAATTTTTAAGTACCGAGTTCCAAGGTGTCTTGAGCAATTGTGCAAAAACAAACAGAGGAAATCATGTCATCCTGAATCCCAGTGTCTGATACTGTGGCATTTGACTACCATTAGTGTCCAGGATAAAAGCTAATATTATGCATAAAGGAAAAAAGCAGCAAAGTAAATTTTTCTAAACTCCTAATGTATAGTTGTTGAAAATGATCGAAAGTACATGGACAGAGCATTAACCAGCTGGGCCCAGGTACTTAGCTTCTGCCTTTTGTGTTGTTACAGGAAGAGAGAATTTAGCTGTGTTTCCCACAGCTCTGCCTATTACTGTTGAGGACCATTTTAGACAAATGGATATGATCTATATTAAACTCTATTAATAAAATACTTTCCTTTTATGACAAACTACTGGCTTTATGTTTATAATAGCAATATAAAGTTTCCTTTATAGACAAATATATTTAAGTAAGAAGTTAAGTGAAAAGTTAAAGGAAAATACTAAGTAATAGTATGAGAATAGAAAAAATCAAGGTGGTTTTTAAATGACTAAAATTTGGAAAACACTGATTTAGACAAGGAGGACTGCCTTTAGTATCCCCTAATACTATGTTTAGCTGTATATACCCAGTCTGCACGGTGATCATCTTGGCGCCATTTGCTCTAATCTTCCCATCTGATACGAGGCTGGCTGAGTGTGGGAGGATCTATTTCTAATTGCTTAAAGGGACAACAAAAGTTAAAATAGTCACTGCCAGTACGGTACAGTTCAGATTAGCTGAAATTTTATTTTCTGTTCTCACATTATTCATCAGATTAAATTTTGTCTCCCTAACAAAATTGTCATCTCTTGAAGGCAATGGTAGGCAGAAACTCTGGTAGGTAAAGCAGGAGTTTAGAATTGAGCTCTGGCTTCAAATCCTGGCTCTGTCACTTGCTGTCTGTGCAAACTGCAGCAAGACACCTGGCCACTTTGAGCCCTATACAAAGAGGAAAACAGTGCTGTCTCTGCGAGGTTATCTGAGGAATAAATGAAAGAATGGATGTGATGCCCTCACTGGAGGTGACACACCATGCCGGTCACTGCTCACAGCAGTTGTGTCAAGCGCGGCTCCTGCCTGCCTGCCTGACCTCATCTACGCTGCTCAGCATCTCTCACTGTGCTCCCGCTTCCCTGTTCTTCACCTGTCCCTGAGTCGCCTTCTCATCCCATTCAGACCCTTGCATTCTCTTCTGCCGGGAATGCTGTTATCGAGATTTTCAAGTCTCTTGCTTCTTCATTAAAATAAGCTACCGTTTAAATCTGATCTCTTCAGAGAGCTCTTGCCAGGCACTGTATTGGAAGTGCCCCCAGGGCCAACCACTTGCAGTACCTCTTTATCCCCCTCACTTAAATTCTATTTACAGAGCTAATTACTATCCGAAAGTGCCATCCTGTATTTATTTGCTTTCTCATTGGTTGTCTCTCCCCCCACCCCCATAGAATACATACGTTTGTCTGTCTTGCTTATCACCATATCCCCAGCCCCTAGAAGTTCTGATATATTTTGGGTACTTAGTAAATATTTACTAAATTTTATTTATATATTGAGTGAACAAAATAGAGTAATTCAAAGGGAATTTTAAAAAATCACTACAAAAATTAAAAAGCACTTGCTAAGTACTAGGTGGAGAGAGATTCTAAATCAGTGTAAAAAGTTGTTTGTCCTAGGTGGGTAAAGAAAATAAAAACATAAGAAATCACCTATATACTATACTGCAAGACAAACTATTTTTGTCTTGTTTTCTGACTGGAAGTTAATCCATGGAACATTTTAGACTGTAACTATAGGGGGAGGTCAGAGAAGGCACTGAACAGGGAGAGGAGCCTGGGAAGGCTTCAGCAAGGAAAGAATGGAAGGGCACGCGACAAAGATCCTCAAACCAGTGGTCCATCTTTCTAGAGCCCTGTTGGGGGCTTTCACGACAGACCCCAATGAAGACACACCTGCCACACGTTTTGCTGACTGCCTGGTAGTGGCACATCTGTGAGTGAGAGGATGGTCTGTGAGACTTTCACGCCTTCTGTTTTCCTCATGTCTCCAGTTGGGTTCTTGAGAGGCTGCAGAGACTGTGTGTGTGTTTCTTTTCCTTGGCTCCCAAGTCACATCAGTCTGCTTCTGTTCTTGGCAACCCGGCATGCTTCCTCCCACTAACGACAAGCCTGTCTGCAAAACAGAACAACATCTTTGAGATGGGGTGTTTATCTGGGCAGCACACAGCCTCTGCAGCCCACAGGAGCCCCTCCTTCACAGGCATTGCTGAACGGGGCTCACCTGATGAAAGCGCAAACTGTGCATGCCTGATTTGATTTACGGCACGGCCGGCTCATTAGGTGCACTGGCCTGAGGAACCCAGTCGGCTGTGGGGACAAATGTTTGTGTAGCTCTGTGGTGCCCACAGGGTTGTTTGCAGCTTGGGGGCTGGAGTACAAAGGGGGCAGTGATAAGGGGCTCTGGAATCCATGGCTGGCTCAGGGAGCGCTAACTGCCCAGGAGATTGATATCTAGGGTGCAAAGGCTAAAAAAATTAGATTAATTTAGCTCAGCTGTGCTCACTGAAGGATTGGGTTGCAGCTGGTGCTGAAACAGTAGAGATCAGACCTCAGCAATCAAGGGGCAAGTCTCAAGTTGGAAGGAAGGCAGTAAGATAGATTGCCTCTCTGCATGCCTGCTCCCCAGGAAAATGATAGCCTGCAAAGGCAGCCTGGCCATCCAGATAACCCTATAGAACACCAGTAAAAAGTAAGTCATCCTCCACAGACTGGGTATTGGAAATTGGGACCACTGTCTTCTAATCCTGGGAAAGTTACCCAGGACAAACTACTTTGAAAATGTTTTCAACTTGAGTTTATTCCTCTGTGAAAGAAGAGGAATTTATCCTCATATATCCATCATACCCTTAAAAAATATCTTCATCTGTTAAGTTTGCCTACAAAAATTCTTCACACTCCCATTTTGATTCCTAGGTGGAAAACCTAGTAGACTTCAAATTCCACATCACATACATTTTTTTTTCACCAAAAACCCATTGCTCTGTGTTACTTTCAAGGGAACAACTCTTAAATATAATGTAGAAAATTATCAACCCTTTAATAAACTATCAACTCCTTTCACCTCTTTTGATAAATTTCTTTTTAAAACTTAACATTTATTGAACATTTACTATGTCAGGCACTGTGCAAATGCTTTATATAAAGAGGAGAATCATTGTCCTATTCTATATATGTCATTTAAGAGTAATAAATAATACAACTTCTTTTCTCCAAAGCATCCAGTCTTGGATGATAAATTTTATGCTTGCCCATATATTATTAATTCAAGGATTAGAGTATGTGTGCATTATTAGCTCAGACAGTGGTGATAGAGTGAACCCTGATAAGGTCCAGACTATGAAATTGGCCATGAAAAATGAACAAAGCAAAAACTAGGTGAAGAAAGGCCTTCCTCTTACAATGTTTCATTCAGACTATGAATGCCATTTGGGGGTTAGATTGAAGCTGATGCAAAAGAGGTCATGGGTTTTTAAAACAGAACTGTAAAAAGTGTATCTCAAAGAAGGCAGGTTCTACTGGGGAATTCCATGTTGCACAGCAGAATAAAGATCAGTCTGGTAGCTAGGTGACCAAGAAGTCAGCACCAGCTCATTAGGTACCAACCCCATGATCCAAAGCAAATCACTTCTTCCTAAATGTTCCTAATTGTAAAATATAGTCACTTTATAGGAAATTTCACTGAAAATTAAATAGCCTTTAACCCATGAAGAGATCAGTCCCCAATTCTGCTTTTCAGAAAGGTCGAGTATTTCCCAATTATACCTCTACTAAGAAGTGCA